TGTTCTGTACTCTTTCCCTCTCCATTGCAACGAGAATTTCAGTACTAAAGAATAAAGTTCTCATCCCTCTCTGTCCTTATGACATATTACCATTCATAACAACTAACATGTATTTTGTCATCATAGTGTTCATGTTACATCTTCAATAAAAAGTATACTATTACTCAAAATTATCATTACTATTTTTCCTAAATCTTTATTTGAATTTTAGTGAATATGATCAGCTAGCATCTACCTTTTTAGCTTTGTGTATATATGTGTGTTTCTGAATGTATGTGCACCATTTAGGTCCTGCAAAGATCAAATCCCCTTCAATTGGAGTTAGTAGCAGTTGTAAGCCCCCATGTGGATGCTAAAAACTGAACCCAGGTACTCTGGAAGGGTAGTAAGTGCTCTTAGCCACTAAGTGATCTCTGCAGCCTCATCAGCCAGCATTTCAAACGTGCATGTTATGTGCCATATTTTTAGTGTCCAACCTCAGCTCCAGAACGTTTTTAGAGTTTTAAATGACATTTCTTGATTTACTGACGATTGTGTGCAAACACACCACAGTGTGAGTTGGGTGCTCAGAGGACACTTTACAGAAGTCAGTTCTCTCCTTTCTTCCACCCTCTGGGATCAGTGTGGAGGAAAACACGCTCAGGTCATAACACTTGGAAGCAAGTGTCTTTATCCACTGAGTCATCCTGTGGCTCTTATATATCATGCTTTAAAAGTATGTGTTAATCCATCCCATTTTTGATAAGAACCTTGTGAACTGTCTCTGATTGTTATCAGCTTTTACATATGAAGAAATGTGAATTCAGATAAATGAATTAATTTGTATTTATAGCTTCTGAATAATTATGCGGCAGCAGAGCCAGGATTTTTTAAAAGGCAGTTTAACCACAGCACCTGTGCATTTTACCCAGAATCATACAACATTGGTAGCTACAGAGTATAAACATAATACAAACAAAGAGCTCAAATTCAGTGAGATGTTTGTAAAAAGTCAAAAGTGTCACAAGTATATTTATTTCGCTACAAAAGCAATGCCTCTTCTCTAAGGTTTGAGCATTATTTCTGGTCCATTAAAGAAATACAATATCTATGCATACAACTTTAATTTAATATACCAAGTTGAGACATCACACAGAGATGTGGAGAAAACTTGTACAGGGCCTTTTGTTTCCAGGCTGTATCTATCAACAGGAAGAACTTCTGATAACCTATCTTTTTAAAAATGACCTGCTCCTATTCAACTCTCTCAACTCTCTCAACTCTCTCTCTCTCTCTCTCTCTCTCTCTCTCTCTCTCTCTCTCTCTCTCTCTCTCTCTCTCTCTCTCTGCCTCTCTCTCTCTGCCTGTCTCTCTGTCTCTCTCTGTTCATCTGTCTCTGCTTATTGCAATTGAGAAATTCCTCCTCTTAGTAGCTCACCAAGAAACATAAAAACCAGGAGGACAAGTCTATAAAGTCACAAATCAGCAGATGAACATGTAAATATATACAGACAGGGCTAGAGAAAAACATGAGTTACCTCATACCTATAGCAAGCAACAGGCTTTGTGCCTTACTTCTAGTCACTTCACCCACCTTCGAGTCAGAAGAGCTGGTGTGCTCCTGCTCTGCCTTGGAGCAAGGAATTAGACCACATGGATTTCAAATAGATTGTCTCTAATTCATCATAAAATCTTCTGCTCCCATGAAACACACCATAGTTCAAGGAAAGGTTTGCTCTGGGGAAAAAAAGCTAGATAGGGAAAGAATATCAGATTCCTCCTTACAGATTCTGCTTTCTTCCATAAACGAAGTCCCTTGACTAAAAATATCACCAGATTTCCCTTTGAAAACCCAAACCCAGGTCACACTCAGCAATACCACCCTAAGAGCATTTTCTTAAAAAATTTAGAGAATAACTTATAATAATCTTAATTTAACTTCTGAATGTTTAAGAAGAGGAATGAGTCTGAGAGTGGTAAATTGATTTCCCAAAGCCACACTCTATCATTTATCCAGTACTATCATAGAAATTAATGAAATTAATCCAAACCATTAGGCTATGGTGGAGATATTACTGAGGTTCAATGGTTGGATCTGTCCCTTGTGGAATATTTAGAAAACAAGGTTATAGCTAAGACAAATCACAAGGAAAAGAAATTTTAGGCTGTCTGTAACAGGATTAATATTCATATTTACAACTTTTATGATATAACTATAATACATGAGAATAAAAATTCAAGAGTAACAAATTCCTATCAAGATGTATCAATTCTATCTATCCACACAATGTCCAAGGGTTGTGATTAAGTGCTCAGATACTTGGACTATTCATGATAAGTGAATCCACACATATAATCAAGAGACCAACATCCCCATGGAATTTCTTCTCCCTGAAGAAAACTTATTCAAATAAACAATGACTTGAGGAAAGTTTCTAAATCTTTTGCAATCATGTTAGTGTCATTGCAGTCTTGTTCCACACCCAACAATGAAAAGGTACATGAAGAAACATAAAGGTGATATAGCTTATTGCCTAAAGTTCCTGATTGATATAAATATCAGATTTTTTTTAAAGGAAGAGAAAGTCCTGGGCACTAGGTTTTGATCAGCTACTGAGTAAGCACATATCCACCTGAGGACAGGCTATTTCAATAACAACTTCCTATTCTCCTATTATCACTTTTGCACAAAACTATTGTGTTGATCAACATTATTATCATTTCACCTTCTCTTCTCAAATTTGCATATTTGCATATAATATCCATTTATAAAATCACTTGGTCTTCCTGTATTCTCTGTCTCTGGTGATGGTGATCCATAACCACTGAATATGGCAAGAATTGGGCTCTGAAAGATAACATTCATCAACTTGTTCAGCAAAATCCCTAGCTATGTTGCAGTCCTTCTACTAAGCAGGTGTTCATGAGGCAGGAAATTGCACAGACTTCAGCTGCACTCTTAGATGGGCAGTGAGAGTTCAAGATGAGCTGGCTGGGCATGGCCTGGGTCTGCTGACAATGCCCCTTCTCTCCAGCTGCCCTGACATTTGTGTAGGAATTGAGGATAATCAGATAGGATAGATGAGGATGTGATAAGCAGGTGGATAGTGAAAGCCTGAGATTAGAGGCCTTTAGTCACACAGCCATCAAGGTAGTGGGATAGAAGTCTCACCACTAGCACTAAGACATCTACAGTTTTGAAGAAAACATAGTTATGCTATCAAGTTTCATAGTTAGTACAGTGTGTGCCTATGTAGATTTAAGTAAGTTAAAATTGGGGCCCTGAGCAGTGGATCAGTGTCTATTCCTGGAAAACAAACAGTCATCGTGTGCCCATAGCACTAAGAGGGATGCTCTCTCAGCCTGGACTCTTAGGGGAGTGCCTGGACCCTACCCTGAGTGAAATGTCAGACTCTAGATATCCCCTATGTGGAAGGAATTGGCAATAGGGTGGGAGGCTGGGAGGGATGGGGGAGTGCGGGAGGAGGGGAGGCAGAGGGAACTGGGATTGACATGTAAAACAAGCTATTTAAAATTAAAATTAAAAAATCAAAAAAAGTTAAATTGTAGAACTAGAGGTTTTAGTGCCACTACATATACTTTATATACTCAGTAACCATACGTAATGGACTACCATGCATTAGCACAAATAGACAATGTTTTCATCAGCATATAAATTTGTCCATGCCTTGTCCTGCAGCCACAAATTGCTACTGTATATATCTCAGAGCCCAAAAGACACAGTGAAAGCACAGCCTGCTCTGGAATGTCACATGCTCGAGAAAAGCAGGGTTAATAGATGCAAATCAGCACAGTCCTATACAACTCCTAAGCCAGCAGAAACCAACTGTAAGATATACTCAGAACTTTTCTCAGTGGGGACAGACAATGGGGCAGTGAAGAGATTCTGAGAGATATAACAATGCAGATTGGCATAGACTCTTTTATCTCCCTTCAATGAAAAAAAGTAAGCAGGGGCTATTAGAAAAAAATTGTTTTAGCATGGTCACTTACAATAATGGGACAGAGATGTGAATTAGAAATAGGAGACCGTGTCTTTCATCCTTCAAGTTAAGACAGTAAGCATTTCTAACATACTTTATTGTTAACACCTCATAAGGCTGAAAATCATTTCCTTTTTGTGAAAACATTTTATTTACTTCCCAATACAGAGGTAGACTTGCGTCCCTTTGGTGTAACTTTGATTTATGAATGTTGGACATTGTGAGAAAGCCTCCAAGACAGTCTTTAGTGCCAGTATAACACAAGAACTAAACTGTCTTATCTGGTGGCTGAGATCAGATGGTCTGCAATACAAGAACCCAACATACACTCAATAGAAAAGTCCCTGGGTGAATTTCCCAACAACATGCTATCCACATTACAAAAAGACAGGTTGATAACTGCATCACTACATACCCCCTCGTAATACCTCCGATTGATTTCCTTTTTAATAAAATATAGGTTTTAACAAACAGGTAAAATGAAAGGAAAAAGTAGAAGTAATTTGTACCTTCATGCAGATGGATAGAAAGAATAATTCCAAATGTTTTATGACACAGTAAGGTAACCACAAGTGGTAAATATTTCAAAATAGCTACAAGAAATAATGTTGAGTCTTCTCAACTAAAAGAAATGCTACCTTGTGAAATAATAAGCCTGCCACTATAAAATGATTGTTATACACTGTATGTATTAAAATATACTTCACCCTATATTATAAATTATTGCCATGTCTCAAAGAAATGTTCTTTGCAGTTGTACTTGCTTTGAGCCTTCAAATTTCTCAGATCCATGAGTAACTTTCAGAACCCAAGAAATCATGCAGCCAATCAAATTCAGCATGTCAGTGAGACTACCTGACCTCTGTCCTTGGAGTGTTTGGTTACTAAGAGGGGTATAGCAATAGAAGAATGATGCTCTTCTTATTACTCTTATATTTGAATATGGACCAAAACAGAAAAGTCCATATCAACAACAGACTAATTTTTAAAATCATTTCCCATCATTTATTGCTCCTTTCACTCTGTCTCTGAGTTCTTTTTGCCCCACAACTTCTTCATGGCGTTTTTCACCTCTGCATTTCTAAGTGTGTAGATGATGGGATTCAGCATGGGAGTGATGACCGTGTAGAACACAGCCACAAGTTTGTCTTCAGTAAATGTAGAGGAGGGTCTCAGATAAAGGAAGATAGCAGGTCCAAAGAACAAGATGACCACTGTAATGTGAGAGGCACAGGTGGAGAGGGCCTTGCGCCTCCCCTCTGCAGAATGGTTCCTCAAGTTGACAAGGATGGTGACATAGGAGGACACCAAGATCAGGAGAGAGATTATAGAGATTAAACCACTGTTGGCCATCACAATAACACCCTCCATAAAGGTGTCAGAGCAGGCAAGCTTAAATAATGGCTGGAGGTCACAGAAGTAATGATCAATCACATGGGGACCACAGAAGGGCAATGGGATGGTGATGAGGATCTGGATTGTGGAGTGAACGAGGCCCCCCAGCCAGGAACCAGCCACCAGCATGTGACACACTTGGTGACTCATGATGTTCATGTAATGAAGAGGTTTGCAGATGGCCACATAGCGGTCATAGGCCATCACTACAAGCAAAAGAATCTCAGCAACACCAAAGAAATGGAAGAAGAATATCTGAGCCAGACAGCCCTTCAGGGAGATGGTTTTAATTTTAGCAAGTAAATCACTGATGAACTTAGGGACAACAGTAGAGGAGTAGCCAATCTCCACCAGGGACAAAGAGCTGAGGAAGATATACATGGGAGAATGCAGAGTCTTACTGATGTTGACTGTCACAACAATGAGGCCATTGCCGAGCACTGTGGCCAGGTACACAGGGAGGAACAGGACAAAGCACACCTTCTGCACCTCTGGATCCTGGAAAAGGCCAGTGATGATGAGTTCAGTCACATTATTTACATTGGCCATTGCATCAGTTCAGGTGTGCTGCATGTCAGAGATTACTGTTGAAAAAAATTATTTTAACACAAATTCATGACATGTACAGTATTATAGATAACGTAAAACAATGTATAATATATGTGTTACTCATTTATTTAATCAATAAATGCTAGTTACATATAAATTCATACTCTAACATTTTATATTATCTTAGTTTGTTTACCTTTGTACAAATGAGACTTTGTGGGTCTAAGAGGAAAATAAGGTTATACAGTACACAGTGGCTGCTAATGAACTCTGTACCTTAATACTAGTTACTTTACCTAGCTGTAGGTCAGAAGGGATGCTGTATTCTTTTATATTGCAAGAAGGAGCCACGGATTTCAACTAAACTCAAATTATCTCCAACTCAACATGAAGTTTGTCCCTGCTGGAATACAACATAACTCAAGGAGAAGTTTGAGTTTGGGAAAATTAATCTGGGAAGGAACAAGGAATAGCTTATGAATACTAGTCCCTGGGCAAGCAAGGCCCCTTAAATAATATCACTACCCAACAGATTGCTCACTGAACACCCAGTGAGCCAAGTTCCGGTCATCCTCAGCCTGGCCATGCTAAATTAATGTGAAGTAGGTTTAAAGGGATATCCCCTAAATCCGTCTGTTCATAGATGAAGTGACAAAGGCTGAGAGAGGAGAATCAGCTCCCCAAATCCATCTTTGAGTGATTTTTCCATATACTAAGACAAAACAGCAGTCTGGATAGCATTGGGATTTCTGACTATACTGTGTGGTGGTTGTCATTGCAATTCAAAGGTCTCACTTTGTCTCCAAGAAAATTGGAGACAATAGTCCTAGTAGCTGTTAGAAAGCAATGTAACCAATATCTAAAGCTAGTCACAAAATAAAGAGGAAACTCAGGGCATCCACATGAAGGTTAACATTTGAATGTAAACAATAATTACAGGCATAAGAAGCAGCAACGAAAGGAATTTTAAATGTTTTCTTTTCACAAGAAAACCTACCTACTCATTCTTTGTCCAAAGGTTGTGACTAAACACTGAGGTCCTTGAATTCTTTATAATTAACTAACTCATGGGCTATAATCAGGGGACAAATGTCCCCCGTGGAATTTCTTTTCTCTAGAGGGAAACTTTGTGACTAAACTGTGACTCAAAGAAAAGGTTTAAAATTAATCTAAAAAAAAACCCTGAAATGTATACATGGAAATGGGTTGTTGAAAAATTTTGTTACAACATTACAGGACCTTATATTCTATAAAAATCCTATGGAATAGGGATTATCATTTTAAATGCATACTGTATATTATTAAATATATCATCTGACTTTCTATAATAATAAATAAATAAAATTAATCTCAAGTACTTCGGTGACTTTTGCATACAACTCTTTCTCGTGTTAACTGGGAAGAGAAAGAAAAAAGATGAAAATCAAGCACGAGACTTATCTACTGAAAATAAATGATGGCAGATAAGAGAGACAGCACTGGAAGCCAGGACCTGAACACTAACTCTTGTTTAGCAGTAAACTATTTGCTTACAACCATCCTATGTTCACCTCCCCACTTCTCATTTGCCCATTTCTACCCCTACATACATGAACAGTTAACCTAGATTGTTGCCACTGAATCTTCCAATTCTCATATTCAGGCACAGTGTTTATATTTCAAAAGTCACTTCTGTTTCCATGAACCCCTTCTCTCCCTCAATGATGATAGTGGTCATGATCATGAAAGATAGAGGAAATTTCCTCTGGAAAAAAATTATCAGTCCGGGTGGGGGTAGAATAGGGGGAAGAGGGAATCATAGGATCGAAGACAGATCAGGCACCAGAGTGACCTCGAGTGATCTAAAGGTATAACATCAATTGGCAAGCTAAGCAATAGTGGAAGGACCACCTCGAATGCCCATTCCTGATAATGAACTTGATGTCTATAACTATCCGGGAGCCTTCATCCTGGGACTGATGAAAGCAGAGGCAAACACACAACTAAGCACTGAACTGAACCCAAGGAACCCAGTGACAGAGAGAGAGGAATGATGAGCAAATTGGCAAAGAATGGGCTGGCAAAACCAGCAGAGACAGCTGATCTGAACAGGGGAGTGCTCTTGGACCCCAGACCGACAGTGGGGAGGCCAGAATGGGACTGATCTGGACCCCCCAAATGTGAGTGTCAGTGAGAAGGCCTGGACAACCTATGGGGCTCTGAGCTATGGATCAGTGTCTATCCCTGGTATACAATCTGTCTTCATGTGCCTATAGCACAAAGAGAGATGCTCTCTCAGCCTGGACTCTTAGGGGAGTGCCTTGACCCTACCAAGAGTAAAATGATAGACTCTAGACATCCCCTATGTGGAAGGATTTGGCAATAGGGTGGGAGGGAGGGTGGAAGGGGAGTGCGGGAGGAGGGGAGGGAGAGGGAACTGGGATTGACATGTAAAACAAGCTATTTAAAATTAAAAGAAAAAAAAAAGAAAAAAATTATCAGTCGCCCCTTTCACTCATTCATTCACTTACTTACTCAAAAAATACCACTGAGTCCTACAATATGCTAGAAACTAATTTAGGGGCTGGGTTTAGTGGTGCAAAATCAAACTCCCTGGACACACGAAACTTAAATTTTCCCTCTTCCCTGGTTGTACCTTCATTTTGTAGGGCAAGAGTGATCAACAGAGAGCTATAAAAGCAAACTCATCTAATGATTTTTGGAACGTTAAGTCAAGAGTGTATGAGCACCATAAAATATCTGTACCCTTGTCATGCTTTTCTGTTGTTTGTTACCATGGTCTTACATTTATGTACGTAGGCTAATTTTAGAGTACTGTATATGTAAGATGGTATGTAATAAGTCTGATGCTGTAACATATTTAAGATTTTTCCTAATAACAGCCTAGCAGCTATGAGGTCAAGTGATAAAGTAGCCACAGAACACTGTCTTTATGAATTTGTTTTTATGTCACATTGGTATTTTTACCTAAACTAAATATAGTCTATGCTTAGACAAAAAACAAAAAAAAAAGAATTCCTTATTCCCTCCAAGACACAATAGTGAGAGAGAAAGACAAAATTAACAAAAAGTTCATATGAAACCCTGAAAGTAAGCAGTCCTGTCTTAGTTATGATGTCTATTGCTGTGAAGAGACACCATGACCATAGCAACTCTTATGAAAGAAAACATTTAATTGGGGATGACTTACAGTTTCAAAGGTTTAGTCCATCATTGTGGTAGGACGTGGCAGCATGTAGGCAGACATGGTGTGGAAGGAGCTGAGAGTCCTATACCTTGCAGGCAACAGGAAGAAATCTCCATGTCACACTGAAGGAAGTTTGAACAAAAGAGACATCAAAGCCCAGCCCCACAGTTACACACTTTCTCCATCAAGTCCACACCTACTTCAACAAAGCCACACCTAGGGGAAAGAGGGAATCATAGGTTAGAAAACAGATCAGGCACCAGTGTGACCTCTAGTGATCTAAAGGGATGACACCAATTGGCAAGTTAAGCAATAGTGTAGAGACCACCTCTAATGCCCATTCCTGATAATGAACTTGATGTCTATAACCATTCTGGAGCCTTCATCCAGTGGCTGATGGAAGCAGAGGCAAACACCCACAGTTAAACACTGAACTGAACCCAAGGAACCCAGTAACAGAGAGAGAGGAGTGGCAAGCAAATTGGCAAAGAATGGGCTGGGAAAACCAGCAGAGACAGCTGATCTGAACAGGGGAGAGCTCTTGGACCCCAGACCAGACAGCTGGGAGGCCAGCATGGGACAGATCCAGAACCCCTGAGTGTGAGAGTCAGTGAGGAGGCCTGGGGAACCTATGGGGCCCTGGGCAGTAGATTAGTGTTTATCGCTGGCATACAGACTTGTGTGTGTCCATAACACAAAGAGGGATGCTCTCTCAGCCTGGACTCTTAGGGGAGTGCCTGGACCCTGCTCTGAGTGAAATGACAGACTCTAGATATCCCCTATGTGGAAGGAAATGGTGATAGGGTGGGAGGCTGGAGGGGAATTATGGGGAGGGTGTGGGAGGAGGTGAGGGAGAGGGAACCGGGATTGACATGTAAAACAAGCTATTTAAAATGAAAATAATAATAATAATAATAATAAGCCACACCTAATAGTGCCATTCCCTTTGAGGGTCATTTTCTTACAAATAGCCACAGAGACCTGTGTAGAAATGTAAAACTCACACTCTCAGCTGTGAGACTGTGAAGTTTAAAAAAATTTTAAACACTCCCAATATTCAAGGGCACAAATAAAACAAAGGAATGAGAAAACAGCAGGCAAGGACTAAACTAAAGCAGGGCCAAAACCTAGAAGGGCAAACATTAAATACCCTCAGTATGTCTGGCATCAAATATATGCTGTATTGCAGTCTAAGCTCCAAAGGGCTTAGGTGGCATCACGTCTATGGTCTTGTTTGCAATCCCAAGGCCTTTCTCTTGGGCTGCCTTCTCTCACAGGCTGTGATTCTCCTTGACCCAAATTTCATATTTCTGGTACCTCCAGTATCCTGAAGTCTCCACCACAGCTTAGGCTTCATCCATACAGATTCATGTATTGCCTAACCCCCTAGACCTATCTTTAGAATTTCAAAGAAATTTCTATTTCAATGGAGCCTTATAACTCTTCCATTCTGCATTCCTGAAAATCCAGTACCTTTTGGAAGATTCTTAAGCCTACTTATAGCTCAAGCAGCATAGGTCTCCCTTGGACTGTCTGCATGAATTTTCCTGTGGACACATGGAAACACTTCTCTTCACTGCAATTACAGTCCCAACAATAGAGCAAGTCCACCCAAGTCTAACCTGGCAAACCAATGAGTTGCTTGAGGATAATGTCAAGAGCATGGGTGACCCTCAGGTAGCTTCAGGGATATCAACATGAGTGACAGCTCACAAAAACTGCATCCCTCACTCCCTGCCCAGATTGCAGGCAGCTCCACCAAAGAGAATCTCTCTTCTCTGGTATTGTGTTTGGTCTATATAGGCTCAAAGAG